CTGGCCCGAGCTGTTTTTGGTGGCTGTTTATCTGTGTGCATTAATGACCTGGGCCAYATGGCTCAGTTGGGGACTTTATGGAGGTGTTGGCACTGGGGACATTGACTGCTGACTCGCACCTGGGTGGCAGATGGGGCTGCCTGGGGCAGCTCCCCCAAGGCCAATCCCATCTCTGCTGGGCTGCTCGGGTCTCTCCATGAACCTCCCCTCCATCAGGAGCCCCTGGCAGCCAGCACACCCCAAGATCCAGCCCCTGCCTTCCGATCCCGCTCTGCAGTTGGGCTGGAGCTGGGCCCTTTCCCTGCAGAGCACAAGGAAGGGATTAATGCGAGGGGCTGGGAGCTGCCAGCCTGTGCCCCGGGCTGTAATTAGTGCCCAGGCACGGTGCCACCCAGCCCCTTGCTGCAGCTGGGCCGAGCACGGAGGGCACAGGCAGTTGCTCTTTTGTCTGGCTTTAGCTCTCTCCAGGCAGCAGTTTCGCTGTTTTGCCTGGAACAATTGCCCAGCCCCACGTGTCCCCTCACCCCGCTGCAGGCTCGGGCTCTCTGCRGGCACAGGAGCCGGTCCTGGCCACTGCCAGTGCTGCCTCACTGCTCTTTTCTTTCTGAAGCTCGAAGCCTTCTTGGCTGACCAAGCACTAAAACCCCTTCTCGCTCTTTGTGAATGTAAGAATGAAGGGTTTAGCTTTTAGAGAGCTATTTGACTGTAAAAGCAGGAGAGGAAACCAGCTTCATTAAAGTGGTGATAGCTTTTAGGAATTCCCCTAAGTACCATTATTGAGAGCCCTGCTGAAGATGCAGGATGCTCCAATTATGTGACAAAGCCAGTGTATCCCTCCTTCTGATCAGGAGCTGTCTCCAGGAAAGGAACTAACTCAGGGAATTTTTATTTGTATTTATTTTCTTGTAATTAAATAAAGGGAAAACCTCTCATTCATTTGCTCTTCAAGCTCGTTAGGTTTCTGGAGACTCTAATTATTAGAAACCGAGCTCCAGCCCGCCTGCTTCCCCAAAGTGCACCAAGAGCCATTAAAATCCTGATCACTTTAATTCTGTGYGAAAAGATTACACCATAATTGTCTGCAGCAGCAGGGGATTAGATGTAATCACCCAGAAATCCTTCCCAGCGCCTCCTCCGGTGTCAGCGAGTGCGAGGCACCGCTGCTGGGGCTGTGCCCTCGCTGGGGACAGTGCCACTGGTCCCCAGGGGTGGCTCAGGGTGACTCAGGTGCCAGCACCCCGGGGCCAGCTGCTGTGTCCAGGGGGATCCTGTTCCTGGAGGAATCCTGGATCCTTGAATCCTGGAGGAGGCTCCAGCTCGCCGTAACCTTTGGAGCCTCTGTCAGTGTGGGGCGTTACTGGGGAGCCCAGCTCAGCTGAACCCCAGGTCCCTTGGGCTCTGTTTGGATCCTGTCAGCACAATTCCAGGGCCTGGCAATACAATCTTAACAATTCCATCATCCCAGGTGTGTTACGAATGAACTGACACACCATCTCCCATCTCCCATGTTGCTGCCACAAGCAGCATGAAATAGCAAATTTGTCATGAAACAGCAAAAAGTGGAGAAGTTAAATGGGGGATGTAGGTGAGAGGAGCAGGATGGGGATGGGGATCACCATGGGTGTCCTGGGTGCTGCAGGGCTGAGGTTCTGTCCTGGTGTTCCCTCACTCAGCTCCTGTGARCCATCCCACGTGTCGGCTCCTCCGCTGCCGGGACACGGCTGGAGCTGTGGGATCCAGCTGTGGGATCCAGCTGTTCGCTCCCGAGACCCTGCCCAACCCCAGTCATTCCTTACACGGCTTATGTAACTTGTCAGAAACCTCCCAAGGTTTTAAAAAAACCGAGTGGAGCCGTTGGATTGTGGCCATTGCTCAATATCGGGAATAGCAAACAATGATCCATTTTCCATTCACGGTTCACCGATCAGGGAAACGTTCCTTTCTTTGCTGGGAAGCAGATGGGGAATGCCATCTGAAATCTGAAAGTTTGGGRTGTGTGGCAGGGAGGTGGTTAAGTCCTGCCTTGGCAGCTGGGGAGGGATGTTGGCTGGCTCCGGATGAGAGCGGGAGTGCTCAGCCTTTTCCAGCAAAGGCAAGGGTATTCCCAGCCTGACTGCAGGGCTCGCCCCTTTTTCCGCCCTCGTCTCGTCTGCTGGACGGGTGACAAAGAATTCCTGACGGGGGAGGTTCCTGTTCCTGCCCGCTGCTCCCCGCACTGATCCCGCTGCCCAGGGGCTGTGCCCAGCTCTGCCTGGCCGGGCAGTGCCCGGGCACACAGATGGACATCGGGGCTGGAGTCACCCCCTGCCCGGTGCTGGCTGGAGACAGCGGCTGGGAGCAAACGCCAGCCAGGGCAGGCCCTGGGGCCAGCTGACGCACAGGAAGCGCCGAGGCCTAATGAGCAAACTTGTTAATTTTCCAGATGACGGAGCAGAGGAAGCAGAAGCAGCGCATCGGTCTCCTTGGACACCCCCCGCCCATGAATGTGAACCTGCAGCAGCAACCGGCCTGAGCCGGGAGGGTCACGGCCCCTCCGGACATCCCAAACCATCCCRGCCCGGAGGCTGCTCCCTCTACCTTCTGTGCATCCTGTAAATACCCTGGTTTTATACTCGATGTATATGACTGCTACTCTGTCGAGCTGGGGGYGTGTGGATTGAGATTAGAACTGTTGGCACGGGACGGAGGTTAAACTTTGTGCCAAAACTATCAAAATTGCCTTTTTCTTGGAAGGACTAAAGAGAGCACCTGAATTGCACTTGAAGAGATTATTTGACTATGTGACATGTATTTTGTATTTAAAGAAAAAAAAAAAGAATAGAATAGCTAGTATTTATGTTTTTATACAATTGTGCAATATGAATTATGCAATCACAATATATTTGGAACTCCTGAATGTCCTAAAGGGAGTGCACATCTTTGGATCTGGTGTGTTAGTACAATGTAATAAATGGTATAAAATTACAGGTGTAAATGAGGCTGCTGCAAAATTGTGTAACTGGTGATTTTTTCATACCCTTGGACATTTTTGTACCATGTGTGTAAATATCTTGCAATGCCATATTTGTTGCCTCTTCCTCCCAGGGATGACGCTGGGACTCCGTGAGCTGTTCAATTGGTATCGATTAAAGCAAAACATTATTTTGAAGCTTCCGAATGAGGAAAGCAGGAGGTATTTTTCAAGAGATTTCTTTAGAGTACTGGGGCTAGAAGAGCTCAGACRCCGGGTTTTTTAAATGCTAAGATTTCTTAAAGGGAACTTTTTATGCAAAATGAAGTTTGGAATGAGGATGCACTGCTGGCGAGTCGGTGCAGTCTCCCAGAAGCGATGCCGAGGCTGCCCAGGCTTTGCATTCTCCGCCTGTAGGATCCTTTCCTTCTATTTTTTCATTAGAGACCTATGTGCCTGCTAAAGCTTTAGCAAACGGGCACTGCACCGACTGAAACGTGTCCTGTAGCTGAGCACTGATGTGTGTAACGCTTGTGTGAGAGCCACTGGTTTGAGGCTGCTCTGTCCCACCCCTTCCTCTCCCTGTCCCCTTTCATTCGGTCACTTTCTTTGGTTTCTGATTCTCCAGAGTGTGAAAGGAAACTCGTTGGGCTGTTGTTAGGTTGTTTGTTTTTGTTTTTGTTTGTTTTTTTTTCTCCAATCCGCTGCATAGTTTTATACATGGACCTCATTTTACAGAAGCTGACTTCTCTGCAATACTGTCTACAAAAGAAAAAAAAAAAGAAAAAAAGCTAAAGACAGAGCTATGAAAATTTGTAAATGCATAAATATAGGTATTTAAATAAATGATGCAAAATACTCTACGGACAGAGGCTGCTGGTGGTTTGTGTCCCCTCCAAGGTGTTGTGTGGTTCTGTCACAACCCCCTGCCCTGGGATGCTGTGTCGTGGGGGCCTGGCAGGTAAGGATGGGGCTTTTCTCAGTGCCTAGAGGGGCAGAGGTTGATTTTTTTTAAAGCAGAGCAAGTCCCTCCTCCAGCAGTGAGAGGCCCTGGCACCCAGGGAATGTCACCTGCGGTCACTCCGGGCTGGGRCACTTCACACTCTCCCCACTGATAGTTCAGGCTTGTGGTTGTCATTGGAGCATGTAAGAGTTCAAAACCCCTCCAGCTCCAAGTACCGTGTGCACAGGAGCGTTGCTGACTGTGTGTATTTGATTAAGATGTAGCAGGAACTACCTGGTACAATTAATCATCTTTAATCTGGTAAGTGCACACAACTGTCTGAGGTGGGTGCGTGTCCCCAGCTCGGGTCAGCAGGAGAGCTGAGCGGGGGGAGGGAGGAAGGAGGGCAGCTTGCCCAGCCGTCTGAGAGCTGGAGATTTACCGGCGAGATCGGGACTCCTTAATCACATGTATTTCCATCTACATCTCCCGGCAAATCTGTCTTCCCTTCTGCAGCGCGGTGTGTGCGGTGCGGCTGCCACCGGGCTGGGCTGGTGCGGTGGAGGAGCAGGATTTCACCTTCCCTGAGCGCACAGACACGTACCTGAGTCACTCCTTCCCCTCCTGGCAGCCGGGGATGAGCACACACACATTTGTCAGGCTTCCCGGAGCCCCTGCCAGGCAGGTGAGAGGGAGGCGGCAGAGAGGGCAGCCCCGAGGATGTGCGCTGTTGCTTCATCTTTACCGTAAAAAGGCAGAAGCGGCGGGTGCCTGAGCGCTGGCACAGCCCCGCTCTGCTCCGTGACCCGTGTGAAAGGCAGCGGGGTGGAACCCGAGCTTCTCGCTGCGGCCGTGCCTTCCCACGAGCTGYGGGGAGATGCGAAAAGGGAGGTTCTGTCCCTCTGCTGCAGCTGCAGCGACAGAGGCAGAGCGCAGCCACCACCCTGGCGAGGGGGTGCAGTTGTCAGGGCAGGTGGGTGGCTCCAGGGGTGGCACAGATGGCTCAGGAGGTCACACTGTGTCCCCAGCCCCAGCAGAGGCTGTGTCAGCTGGTCAGCAGAGGAAGGTGACTGTTCCTCTCCTCAGCCCACGGACAGGTCATTCATTTCTGCAGTGACATTTCACGCATGACTGTCACATTTTTTTTTTTCTTTTTTTCCTCTTTCACTCTTGGGTTTTTCTAAGTTTTTTTTTTTTTTTTTTTTATTTCTGGTTGAACTCCTCTGCCCATCATGGCTGTGCCAGCAGAGGCCGGGAATGGCCAAAACCCTGCTGGGGCTGGTGGTGGGTCTGTCCCTGCAGCTTCTGAGGTTGGACTTTCCCGTTCTGGACTGAGATCTGGTGCCCCGTGGCAACTTCCTGATCTCACAGARAAGCTGTGTGAGGGATCTGTTTAATTTCCCATTTGGGGTACTCTTTTCCACAAAAGCTGAATATCTCTTGCCATCACAAAAAGMTTTATTCACAATTGTTGGACTCCCAAGAGAAAAAAAACCCTCCAAAACCTGAGACTAGCATCTGTAATGTAAATTTAGGTCCTGCACAGGAGGGAGCTTTTTGGCTCTAAAAACACATCCCTGACATCTAGTAAAATTAATGGTTGGGTGACAGACAGCTGGCTGTTGGTTTAAGGATTAGATTGAAAGCAGGGAGGTTCCACCYGCCTTGCACACACCTGGGTTCTCCTTCGGCATCAGGTTTCATTAAGCAGGATGTTAAAGTTTGGGACCACGATTACTTTGTCTCTTTAATAAGAACTTTCCTTCGGAGGTGGAAATCTAAGTGACCTTCTGAAGAGGAAAGAACAAACYGAATCTACCGATTTTGCTAATAATGGAAAGTCCTAGAGGGGCAGGATCTCCGTGCATTCCTCAATTTGCATGACTGGCTGAGTGCGTGGAGGAGCCTTTTCTCCGCTAATGAAGCAGGTGACATGCTAATCAAGGCAATGCAAATAACTGCTCTGAAAGCGCAGCCACGGCCCCAGCACCGCCACAATGGCAAATTCAAGCCTCATCCTCAATTTTGCAGCAAATTGGCGCAGGGCAGGACAAAGGAGCCGGGATTGCAGCCCCGGTGCTCRCGGCGGGGCCTCGCACTGGGGCGCGTGTGATGGAGACCTCGTTACATAATGGGGGCTTGATTGATATCGGGGAAGTCACAATACAGCTCCGTAGAACAATCCCCTCGTCTCCCCGGATGGGAAATGCTCCTACACACATGCCTAATAGGGGCTTTAAATTGCCCATTGTATTTCCGAACAAGAGAAACTTATTTRGAGTGCTTTCCCTGCGCCGGTTCCAGCACCAGCAGCTGAAGCYGCCGCCATGTGTGTTCTCCGTGCTCTGCAGACTCACTGGATGGATTTCCAGGCACAMAGAGGATCCCAAAATGGGTCAGRCTGGAAGGGATCACCCGGTCCAACATCCCTGCTCCACTGGGGTCATCCCAGAGCACGTGGCAGGAGGGCACAGGAGGTCTCAGGGGGTTCCTGTGGAGCCACCCCATGCCAGAAGAGCCGAGCCAGTTCCACGYCAAGTGCCAGCCCYASCAGGGSACACAAAGGGGCTGTAAGCTCCTGYTTTGGGTTGGGGTGGCTCCCTGTTTCCATGRGAGACTCCCTGGCTGTGAGCCAGCGTGCCCAGGTTCTCCCACGCCGCGCTGGAAGTTCCGTCCCGAGCTGTGAATTTCCTGGCCCCGGCCTGCACGGAGCGTAACCTTTACACTCAGCACGGTGCATTTACTTTACAAACACACTGACCGGGCTTTGAGCTGGCTCAGGATGAGCTGTAGATATTTGGAGTAAAACCAGAACAAATATTCCATCTCAGTGAAACTGGCATTGTCACYACGACATAAGGAGTAACTTCTGGAGAGATGCTGTACTTCTCCATCCAATTTTTTATTTACTACCTTTCCAACCTTCTTTCAGACTAAACATGTTAATGAGCTGAATGTCAAAACCACCCACGAGTAAACTGAGCTGTCCCATCCAGTAGGCTGATGTTGGTTTGTTTTTAGTAACTAGCAAGGATGCTGGAAAACCCCTATAAAGATTTCATTTTTAACAAAAAGTACCAAAAACTCCACCAGTTTTGCATCACAAAGTTGTGGTTCAAGTCAAGATTTGAGTCAAGCAGCATGTCTGTGGTTTTTGTGGGTGGATGCATCTCGGAATGACTATCAATCTGTCAGAGGGAGATCTGCATGTCATCTCTGCATATGACAGGCAGAATCTGCAGTGACAAATTTCTTTCCAATACTCGCAGCGCTGAGCCTCGTACCCCTCCTGCCATCCAGAATCGCCAAGTCCTGTCAGCACGTCGCTTGAACCCGCTTTTTTTTTCTTTTAAAGAGAGACAAACAGAGGAAGGAAAGACAAATATAGAGCAGTGCTCTAGAGGTGCCACTGAACACCAATGCCAAAGTGCTTAGTCACCCCGAAATTGTGACGTGCACACRGGAGATGCCACGGAGGACACTTGGACCAGAGCTTGTCCTGCTGCAGTTACGTGTGTGAGGGGGACACTTGGAATTGGAATTATGTAAGGCTGGAGGGAAAAAAAGAGTAACTCTGGATCGAATCAAAGTAACTCAGGAGATGCAGCTGGAATTGCATGTAAAGTTTGCAGAAAAAAMMAAMMAWSAAAACCTCCAGAAAATCTGAYTGATTTAGAGCGTGACTGCTGGTGTGGAAATGCCCAAATCTCCCTGTGCTCAGGTCTCCGTGGGAGAAACAGGAACAGTTTCAGCCAGTGCAATACAGGAAAAAGGCCTGAAATTTCAACAATAAGCAGGAGATGGGAAAAGCACCCTGTGCTGAGCCAAAGTCCCGACCCCGGGATGCATTCAGAGAGTGTGTGAGAACAGGCTGACAGCTGGATAAATTGCTTCGAGGCAGGTGCTTCCCCAGGAGYCCCACGCAGCAGGAACAGCCAGCCCCATTTCCAGGCAGCCTTTCCCTCCTGAAGCACTATCATCCCTCAGACCTGGCTCACAGCTTCCTCGCCCATTAGTGCTCCTCAGCTGCCTCTTCTCACCCTGACACTCAGCCCTTTTCCTCCCCTTCCTCATCTCATCTCATCTCATCTCATCTCAGGAATGACTTTGCAGCTCTCGCTTGCCCAGAGCCCCTCCACTGTCTGGAAATGGTGCCTGGTCCCCAGGGATGGGCAGGAGCAAAGCCCATTCCCGGGCTTTATCGAGGCAACGGGTTTGTTTTCACTCTCCTTTTCTAGCGCTAAGTAAATACACAGAACACCRAATCTGAAGGCAGTGAAGAGTGGAATTCCATCTCTCTTCCATGTGTTCCAATATGACTCTCAAAATAGTGGAGATGCTGTGTTATGATTTCCATTTCGCTTGTGTCCATAACACTGTTTTTACGCAGCAGAGATGGAAACACAATCTGTTAAGTCTGTAAGAAACTTTTCCTTATGAATGATGGGTGCAAACATCGTGTACAATCACATTCCAGGAAGAAAATTCTATCCCTTCAGTGCTAGCAACCCTAAAAGGAGTTCAAAACTGCAGTTTGCCTGTATTTACACACCACAGGAGTTTTTTTCACATCAGTTTAATCACAGGATGATTCATTATTCACAAAGAACYATMATAATTAAGAAGAATCATGSAATTGTTAAGGTTGGAAAAGACCTTCAAGATTATCAAGTCGATGGTCAACCCAGTCCCAGCACCATGTTCACCACCAAACCRTGYCCTCACTGCCACTTCCAGTTGTTTTGGAACACTTACAGGGATGGCAACTCCTCCACTTCCTTGGGCAGCCTCTTCTAATGCTTCACAACCCCTTCTGTGAAAAAAAAAAATCCCTAATATCTAATCTAAACCTCCCCTGGTGCAATTTGAGGTTGTGCAGTAGCACAACTGTCTGCAGGATCTGAATCAGAGTATCTCC